TCCCGGNGGTCAGGTTACATGCCCGGGTTGCAGGCTCGATCAATGACTCTTTCATTGATGTTTCTCTCTCTCTCTCTCTCCCNTTACATGCCCGGGTTGCGGGCTCGATCAATGACTCTTTCATTGATGTTTCTCTCTCTCTCTCTCTCTCCCCCTCTCCTTTCCTCTCTCTAAGATCAATAAAGATATATTAAACAAAACAAAACAAAACAAACAAAGAGGGGAGAGATAGAGACAGAAACATCAATGATTAGAGAGTCATCATTGATCAGCTGCCTCCTGCATGCCCCCAACCGGGGACCGAGCCTGCAACCCAGGCATGTGTCCTGACTGGGAATCAAATCTTGATCTGGATCCCAGGCCAATACTCAACCACTGAGCCATGCCCGGCCGGGCTGTCATCCTCTTTTTGTATCTTCTTCAGGTCCCATGTTCTCTAGCCAGGCCTGGGGATATAATCCTCCTGGCTTGTTTCCCTCCTGATTCCCGATTCCTTGATGACTATTCTGGGAGCTGAGCCCCAACATCATGAGACTCAAGGGGCGGGAGCCAGGGGGACAGCAGAGTCAGTCCACACTCAGCAGTGACACTCGGGGAGACTGCTTATGCTCCTTCCCATTCCGAGTCTTCATACCGTGGCTCCTTCCTGGCCCTGTGTTTCTCCAGCTGAGACCTGGAGGAGTCCACAGATCTATGAATCTCTCTCTGGGGACTTCTGAGACTTCTTATAAAACTTAAATTTTGTGTTTTCATTTTGATGGGTCCTCTTTTAAAAAATAAAATTCATTCTGGATAACCTGGATTACTTTTTTTTAGGAATTTCAGCGCCTATGTGTGTATCAGGTTTTGTAGTCACAATGGTGACAAGAGAGCACCTGAAGAGACGAAGTTGACCAGTTAACTCAGTGTTTTTCAATGTGGGGGCCTATAGGTATGTTCTTAGAACTTCAGTTCTAACTCATTCTTTAGGTGCCAGCAAGCACGTCCCATCCTCAAGGAACGTTCCCTCGGCCCTCATTCACTCTCAGCACCTCACGCTTCTTCACAGCACTGTCACTGCTTACTCTCCCTGGCCAGACTATAAAGTCCATGAGAGCAGGGACTGTGTCTGTCTCATTCACCTGTGTATCCCCAGTTCCTAGCATGCTGCCTGGAACATAGCAGGTGCTTCATAAACACACACACACAGAGCAAGAAGAAAACATTACAAAGCAGTGCATTTGTAGCAAAGTATAGTTTCTTTTCATTGAAAGAAACTGATCTTTGAAGGGTCATCAGAATGGCCCTCTCAGTTAAGGCACACATAATACAAATTAGCAACCTTTGTCCGGGGATTAGGGTGTAATCAAACGTTTTGTAACTCATTCTAGACTTCCTGCATTTCCCAGAAATCCCTGAAATGGAAAGAGGAAGAGGGAGGGAGAAAAGATAGATTAATTTTCAACAGGAGCCCAGGGATTCCCAGAATCAGAGTATTTAGCCGCAGGGGAAACGGGGTGGCAGTGTACTGCGGTTACTCTGGCACAGAACCCAGAAATAAAACTTGAAAAAAGTCAAGGTTAGTGAGTCCCACACAAAACAGGGAGTGGAGTGTTTTGCCACACATCTGTGGATGATGACACTGTTTTCCTTCCTGGCTGTCCTGGCATGGTCCTTGTAGGCTGCGGCACAGTGGTAGGGTGTTGAAGACCAAGAAAAGGAGCGGCGGTGAGGTCCGGAGAGCGGAGTTCTCCTGTCCTGAAGAGCCCGGGGGTCCAACCTGTGCAGGTTGCTGGGCAAGCAAGGCTGAACCACAAAGGGACCTACGGCTTCCATTAGGAGGAGGAGGCCCACTTTTCCGCCGATACACCCAGTGGAGCAGATTATACCAGTTACATCTGCAAAATATACGACGCACTACGGAGCACCGAGCAAGCGGTGAAGGGAATGGGGCGAGGCTAGTCCAGAATCCTGCCGTTCCCAGCGTGGCCGCCAGGAGCTCGTTAGAAATGCAGAATCGCAGGCCCCACCCCAGACTTCCTAAAGCAGAACCTGCAACTTCAGTTCCCCAGGGGATTTGTATGAGCATCAGAATTTGAAAAGCACTAAGATTTCTTGAGGAAGAAGAGCTTGAGGGCCATGATGAATGTGAGGGGCAAGGTGAGGCGAAGCCTCAAGGAAATAGGGCCGGTTGAGGAGAAAGGGGCCTGAGGGTTTCCCCTGGAGCACCCTGGGCAGAATGGGCAAGGAGCGGACGGCTGGCTCCGCCTGGCAGCCCCAACAGAGGGGTGACATCAGCAGCACAGGGCCTGAGGTCGCCGCGGGAGGGCGCGGCCGGTCGGCGGCCGC